CACACTGTGTTGACAACTCTAGTACCGGTATTCTGACCATTACCATCAATAGAACAATATACTTATTGGATTTGTTCTTTAGAATACTTGCATGACGACTTGATTTCTTGTCACAATTATTGACCTATGTGTATTGACACAAACTACAGCTGCAGTGTTTTAGCCAACTACATTTTCATCTCTTTAATTTTTTTTTTTAATTAAACTTTTTTTTTTGTCAGTCAGTCTAGTCAGTTGCTTAGATATGCATAATGTAAACATCATTGCATGGGTCTTATAAATGTTTTCACCACATACAACATAAACTTAAATGAAGAATGATTTTATTATTTAAGTAATTGTAACAATACACTCCATTTTATATTGAGAATTCTTTCAACCAAAAAAAAACAAAGTAAAATTTTAATATGAACACTAGAGGGTGATATGTCAGAAAAATGATCCAAGGAAATAAAAGAGTTCAATATACTGTAAAGGGGTTAATTATTCAATAGGTTTTAATTTTGCTTATTTCGCTGAATGGAAAATGCGCAAAATTAAAACCCAGTGAATATGTAAAATTGAGTATAGAACACATTATCTAAATAAAAAAAAACGTGAATTTAATACCCACTGAATATGCATGAAATGGTAAATTAGTGAAATTTAAACCCAGTGAAAATTAGTCATTTTACAGTATTTGTTTTGATGAACTGTGATTCAACAGCCAATAATACAAAAAAAAACAAAAAAAACAGACTCACCATCTTCCATTCTGGTAATATATTATTAACACCAACAATTTCATAAAATCTTGCAAAACCTTCGTTCAGCCAAGTATCATCCCACCAAGCCAGTGTTACAAAATTACCAAACCACTGAAATAAGGTATTTGAAATAATAATTTGAATTTTCAGCTCACCATTTGCCATTCCGGAAATATCTTATCCATGCCCACAATCTCATAGTAAGTGGCAAAGCCTTCATTAAGCCAAGTATCGTCCCACCAGCCCAGTGTTACAAAGTTTCCAAACCACTGAAATATTACCAGAATGATTTGGATTCCATAGGGTATCAAATTGTATTAGAATACCGTCAAATGAATGTACAGCTTGTGATTTCCTACTTATAACGTACCGGTAATTCAGATATCGCATTGCATTCAATTAAAGCACATATGATATTACAGATATCAGGCCAAATAACGGCATACTGTGACTGTGGTTTGGTAACAGATTGTAAGAAGACCACAAGATATTAATAAAGTCTATTGCACAATGATGCAACCGTTTATCATCTATGTTGTGTAAATATATGATTACTGGATTTATATGTGAGAGTGTTAGCTTACCATGTGTACCAATTCATGAGCAATTACTAATGCAACACTTTGTAAATGTGACGGTGAATGAATCGTGTCATCGTACAACATCCTATAGTCTTTGTACGTAATCAATCCCCAGTTTTCCATGGCACCAGCATCAAATACCGGCAAAGCTACCATGTCTATTATGAATCAAAAACAACATGCACTTCTTTAATTACTGAGGTTAGAAGCTGTAATATATACCACTGTATTATAACACAGACTACTATAGCACTGTTACCACATACTATATTATACCACAGACTATATTATACCACTGTATTATACCACAGACTATATTACACCACTGTTTTATACCACAGACTATATTATACCACTGTATTATACCACAGACTATATTACACCACTGTATTACACCACTGTATTATAACACAGACTATATTATACCACTGTTTTATACCACAGACTATATTATACCACTGTATTATACCACAGACTATATTATACCACTGTATTATACCACAGACTATATTATAAAAATGGATTATACAACAGAATATATTACACCACTGTATTATACCACAGACTATATTATACCACTATATTATACCACAGACTATATTATAAAAATGGATTATACAACAGAATATATTACACCACTGTATTATACCACAGACTATATTATACCACTTATTATACCACATACTATATTATAAAAATGGATTATACAACAGAATATATTACACCACTGTATTATACCACAGACTATATTATACCACTATATTATACCACAGACTATATTATACCACTTATTATACCACAGACTATATTATAAAAATGGATTATACAACAGAATATATTACACCACTGTATTATACCACAGACTATATTATACCACTGTATTATACCACAGACTATATTATATCACTGTATTATACCACAGACTATATTATATCACTGTATTATACCACAGACTATATTATACCACTGTATTATACCACAGACTATATTATATCACTGCATTATACCACAGACTATATTATACCACTGTATTATACCACAGACTATATTATACCACTGTATTATACCACAGACTATATTATACCACTGTATTATACCACAGACTATATTATACCACTGTATTATACCACAGACTATATTATACCACTGTATTATACCACAGACTATATTATACCACTGTATTATACCACAGACTATATTATACCACTGTATTATACCACAGACTATATTATACCACTGTATTATACCACAGACTATATTATACCACTGTATTATACCACTGTATTATACCACAGACTATATTATACCACTTATTATACCACAGACTATATTATACCACAGACTATATTATACCACTGTATTATACCACAGACTATATTATACCACTGTATTATACCACAGACTATATTATACCACTGTATTATACCACAGACTATATTATACCACTTATTATACCACAGACTATATTATACCACTGTATTATACCACAGACTATATTATACCACTGTATTATACCACAGACTATATTATATCACTGTATTATACCACAGACTATATTATACCACTGTATTATACCACAGACTATATTATACCAGACTATATTATACCACTTATTATACCACAGACTATATTATACCACTGTATTATACCACAGACTATATTATACCACTGTTTTATACCACAGACTATATTATACTACTGTATTATACCACAGACTATATTATACTACTGTATTATACCACAGACTATATTATACTACTGTATTATACCACAGACTATATTATACTACTGTATTATACCACAGACTATATATATTATACCACTCTAGGTCATAAAGCTTGATTGTTCATATGTTCATTCCAATTATGTTTCTTTATATTTATGCATATATAACCAGTACAATTAAATTCATATGAAGATTGTGAACTACTATTAATATACCAGTATATTGATGGTGTTAATCCATCAATTTGATTGGTCCAAACATGCAATTAAGAGTATATTGGCTGATAATTCACACTATTGCTAAACAAAGTGGCCCTGGAACATGAATTGATAGCAGGTTTAATGCAGAAATACATATTACCGGTAGTATTTGATTTTTAGGGAAATATAGTGGTAGAATTTTGGAAAAATATTGGAAAAAATTACAAGGCACAGGCAAAAACATATGCCACAGATAACAACCGGTGCCCTCAGCCGCGTTTGAATTCTACCTGACAAAATTGCACCAGGGTGATTGTAATCTGTTTCAAAGACGACTGGATAATACAGAATTCTACAATGATATATGGTATTGTAATTGTCCACTGGGGAAAATAAACTAGGGGAGATGATGAAGGTAATCACAAAAGCTGCAGATTTGTCGCGAGTGTAAACCAACCACTGTATTACTGCGACATTATACCAAAGATGTATTCAGGTCAGATGTTGGGTCTGAGATCGTCATGCCAGTCACCGTACATGATACATAACAGCATCCTGCTATGTCTCAAAATCAAACTTTGGTTTAGCCAAATACCCCTGAACGTCAAATATCCTCAGTTACAAGTAGTATGATGAGTCACGACATCTGGTTTATTTTACAATTGTACTTTCAATGGGCCAATTACAGTCAAAAACATGGAAAATCAGTTGTTTTATTGATCTAAAGTGTAGATGACCATGTACTCAAATGGCATTGATGTCATAATCAGTAAAAGGTCATCTTTGTTATGCTAATTTTTGTGTTTATGCATCACAATTTTACCTTTTGTATTTCACATGAAATAAAGAAGTTTGTATTTAATTTGAACTGTGTTGCATATGTGTATTTTTTAATAAATATTCATGTACAAGGGCCATAATCATGATTTTATAGTAGATGCAAGTAAACTCCCTTTTTACTAGTTTTATCGAATTGTCAATATCCTGGTATAATATAATAGCAATAACCCCCTGCTGAAGTTGGGTATACCACTTGATATTGCACAATTGTGCAGTATCTTGTGGTATACCTGTCTTCAGTCTGGGGGATGGGTTTTTTTATTGCTTAAACAAGTAACTATATTAAATCACATTTTATTACATGTATAGCAATTTATTTCTTCAATGTTACAGGTATTGAATTATTCACAATTGAATAGAGAAAGCATTTCGTAAGCTCTTATGTGTTTCTGTGAGGCCAGCTCTATAGCCAAAATTTAACTTTTCTCTGGTTTATTGTCGTTCAAGTTTATAAGTGCCTATACTTTGTTGTGTATTTACATTTTGTTACTGTGGGAAGAATGTAGTAGAATTCATTCGGGTTTCGGTTTTGATTCTATTCACCACATTGATATTTATCTTCTGGATAACAATTATAGCAATCACTGGATGAATACACTGGACTAAACAAACATTTACGCTTTTTTTGTGCATAATTGGTTCCCATGGTGAAAGAATTTCATCATTTTCAAAATGTTGGCTCAATCACATGGTCTGGAAAAGCCTCATCGCAAAATTTTCAAACAAACATTTACCATTCTCCCATAATGCATTGTACATATGTTCATTACAAAACCAAGTTCATTTACATACCCATCTTTGGAAGCGAATACGGAATCCCCCAAAGTTGTTCAAAGTCTGTCAATGATTGGTTACCAAACTCAAGTGAAAATGTCAAACCATGTGAATAATCTGCTGTAGACCAAACACGAAACTGAAAAAAAAAACATGTTTAATTTAATATACTATACTGTAAAAGACAATTGAATTTGAGACAAAGAATACTTGAATGCATTGACAAGGGTAGCCTTTGGCGTGCTTTAATTGCTACATTTTTTTAATAAAATAACATAGTAAAGATCCCAACCTATCGTGTCACTTCAAAAATAAGTCTTCCGCTAATTAACAGTTCAAAAAATGTTACACTTTCATTCAAGTTTTGATACGTTGTTTACTCACCTGCAAATAGTTTTGATTTTATACATGACATAGTGAGGAATTGACGTGAATGAAATGTTGCGTCATTTCTTAAAATTAAGCAACCTGCCTGAGGATATTGCTAGGGTGAGAGCATCACAAAGTAATCAATATATATATATATTTAAACATATATATTATTTAATCTAAATAATATTTGAGTGGAGATTTGTCAAACCCTAGCATCATAGAACACACTGTTTTTTCGGTACCCGCAGACATCAACGGAACAGGCACGAGACAGGGGATTTCCTTCACCCACAATTTACTTTCTTCAATAACGTTCACATCGTCATTTTTAGGTGTGAACCACTGGTTCTTGGCAACCATGCAATTACTGTGCACATACGCACACACAATGCACTGACTGCGGAACATACAACATAAACAAAAGAAAACAATGTTGTTTAAATATCTCATTAGACATTTTTATAATACATGTTAATTACCTGCACTCCATTGGCTGTTATAGTTTTCATATTAACAAAATCAGACACAACTACAGCCACTAGATACGTTGACATCACTACAGATGTATCAAAGTACGCAGTGTTCCACTCTGTGCCCATTTCATTCCTTATATTAGGCATATTAGACAGTGCCGTTCTTCCCAGACGATGGTTTACCACTATATCAAAGGTAGCTTTCATTGATGGTTCATCAAAACAAGGAAACATACGCCGTGCACCGCTCGGTTCCAGCTTTGTTGATGCAAGGTATCTATACATTCAAAAGGGAGATAAGATTTCAGTACATTTTCTTATGATATGCCTAGAATACCACAACTTCAACAACATATGTTAACGCATCACCTGTCGACGTTGTATTTTCCTATTTATTATGGCCATCAATAGGTGACAAATAAGAATACGATCAATCTTACTAAATGATACTGACAAATTAATATATTTAATAATAAAAAACACTCAAAAATTAAACACTGTAGTCCACTATAATTTTGCTGCATTCCAAAAACAAAATAACGATTAATACAGCTTCATTTATTCATCTTTTGTCTATTTATGTTAACACTTATTTTCCCAATTCTTTCTTTGTTAGAAATAGAAGTTAACATTTTCTAAAGATGCAATAAAGATTTATATTATAATAATTATTATTATTATCTTTATTAATATTAGCAATTGCATATCTGATAACTGGGCTTAAACTGTGACGACAGAAAATGCATTAGTTATCCACTGGGTTTTAATTTTGCTTACTTTGCTGATAAGTATTTATACACATGACTTAGCGAGGGACCACTGTACTATTGTGTCATTTGATAGTGGTAATACTTAGTACTGGTATGTGCTACATTTTGTGATAGTCTCACTTGGTTACCATGGCGCAACTTGATTTTGAACTAATCAATTTTAATTTTTGTCTATGTATGTACTATGGCAAAGTTGTTGTCTGTTTTCATTATACAACATTCTTGTGACTATACAAGGGAAGTTATCAATTATCCTGGCGAATCAGAATCTTATTTTCAGTCATTTCAATCGCCTGAGGGATGTTGATGGGGTTATTGGAAAATTGCTAAGGACTTCCAGGGAAGGTGTAAGTTACCCGTACGAATCCTATTTGTGCCTGCTGTAATAGTCAAGAGTCGGTCAATAGTCAAGATCGATTGTGCTTCATATTTAGTGAATGCTGTCATTATTAAAGTCTGGCAACAACTACAATACTATATCTACCAAGGTGTTATCATCAGAAATATGTTTTAAGTATTTAAATCCATTACTTTATTCCACTGACAGTTTTACATAATACTACACCGCTTGTCTCCTTCTCTCAAAACGAAGCCACAATCTCTCTTCAAGAAAACAATCTTGTTTCTAGTTCTGGATGTACAATTTGTCTAATAACACCCAAGCCCTACATTTAACCTCAATTATTAATTTTGAATATAGTCTCCTTAATATATTTTCCCATTTCAATTGGTGCAACAAAGGCATTCCTTCATCTTTATAAATAAAACCAGCCAGTCAAGGAGCACAGTGCACAACACAATTTGAAATCATCCTGATGTTATTCAAACAGCCAATAGAAACTTCTCATTTCAGCTTGATTTGTGAAATTAATATACGATTAATTTCATGATTTCAATGAATATATACCAATAAAATGCAGTCAGGTACATGTATATATAAATAAATTTTGCTCATTTGTATATATGTTATGGTTCAGTGCAAAATATCATGGTACACAAGGAAATGATTTATTGCTTGTATCTACGGTATATTTAAAGCATGGTGGTCATGTGTGACATTTGTATTGATAAACATTGATTTTCCCACAATGCGCTCTTCAAATAGAATTTACAAGTATGAGGTTTGACCTGGATGCGACTTGCACTGATTACTGCCGGTGACTCCTTCGATATCTTCCAATCACCTGAAAATTACCTAATTAAAGCTTGGAAACGTCTCAGTTCGTACTCGTTGATCTGCGCAACAGTAAAAGTAGCCATCTTTGATTATATGAGACTCGTATATCTTGCACATGCGTGGCGCGACGACTACCGCACTTTAAATGTGGCGTTTAATGTTTCATAATATTTACCTTGTTTCCCCATTAGTTTCATAGGAACTGGAATAAAAACCAAACCAGGAACCATCAGGGTCTTTACTTGTGTTTAGACTGCCTGCAAATCTAATATAAATCTGATACTGGTGTTCAGTCATTATAAAACGATCCAAATTTATTATAAGGAAATCATATTCGGAAATAAACATTGTCCCGGCTACAGCAACTGCTTCATCGTTGCTTTTATTGGTGACTTGAACGGAATCGGTGTCAATGCGTAAATCCAAAAAATGCAAAGTTATGGAATTCGATGGGTGGATACAATCTATATCAATGGTAACGTCGCCGTCGAACGTAAAACGTTTGTCACCATCTTCTTCGTCTAGATATGGAGTGATGTTCAGATGATAGGCGACAGGTTTGACTGTCTCTGGAAGTCTGCCATCGAACGAAGGAGTTGTTTTTGGTTCGGGTTCAGGGGGCAACCCGTAAGTTTCGTCGCAGTGGCGCCTTCCCAAGAAAAATGTTAGCAGAACTACGAAGGTAATTAACAGCAGTACACAGACAAAGAGCGTCCACGCCAAGCATGCTGTTATGTAACAACCTTTTTTCGTGCAGAGGCATTTGTTCGGGAAGGTCGGTGACTGGTTTCTGATTAATGGTTCTTTTTCATCGGGCTCATCGTCAGGTCGATCAGCGGCGCTAGCGGAGCCGTATTTGGGCGAATCCATGTCACATTAACTGTCCCAGACAAGACGTGCAAAACACAAATAACGTACGTGCAACGCAGGAGAGAGAAACAGCAATCGATATCAACCGTTCAACGACCCCTTTACCTTTTGTCTGGTGCAGACGCCACAACAGGACCTTCTCAACCTAGAACGAACTCTATGGTGACCTCAAAATATATATATATATATATAACACTGAGGGCGCTGCAACAAATTATGTGCAATATGAGTGAACGTAATATAATGCAGAATATGTGGCATTATCCGGTACTGTAAAATACCTTATTTTAGCTTGCAACTAATTTTCGCTGAAGGAATGATTCAATAAAAATAAAATCTAACGAATATACCCTTTTTCCTATATTTTACATTCAACTCGTCAAAAATCAGGGAAAATAAATTCCATATCAAACATACAAAAGTCTTTTAAGCGAAGATTAATTCCAGCTAAGTATATTTTTACAGTATTTGATAGGCATTAAGTTATAATGCCGGTAAGCAGGGTTCAAACTCAAACCCCGAATGAAAACAATTGTTTTTCAAGCGTGACCTTCAATACTAGTACTTTCATTCACTGCCAGAAAAAAACCTCCGTATTCCTTTTGTGGCATCGTCCGCCTGCACGGTGTTGTTCCGTTCGGACATACCTCCCTCTACGATAGTGGAGTGCTTCGCCGGAACATTCGCCTTGAAAATTCAAGATGTTTTGTGGCGCTTTTTATTTATTTAGAGCGATAACTGTGATATGTGATAACTGCTCAATATTCGTTCAGAAGTGTGAAAGGGAAAACAAATAGTGTAAACAAGTACGGATACCCTTATGGACTCCATCTTACTGGCTTCTTTATAACTGTGTATGCACATCTTGCGCTAGATTTATTTTCGCTTGAAATTAGATAAATAAATGTCTTAGCTCAATAACATGTACTTACCTGTCAATACTGATGCAACGTTTCAAGTTTAAAATGACGTCACATCCGTCAAGTCGACAAAATACCGTGAGCCGAGTTGTTGTCATTACATTATGTGAGCTAAAACATATAGAGAATGCATCATCGTTGATCACCTATCTTAGAGTTAGAAATATATCCATGAAACTCACAAATAGAACATAACATATTTTAGTTTATTGTGATAAGATGCGTTAATCTTGGAATAAATAAACAGTAACTTTTCAAATAAGCTTTCAGATAAGCAGTGCATTTCACGGTACGCGAACAAAAGAACAGTTTTAGTTCGACACACGTGAGAACAGTGTCAGTGTATTGATACATATAGCGCGCCACAAAGTTGTTTTCCGGTCTTACTGGCTGGTTTTCTTCGGTTCAGTTATTTCTCGTTGTTAACTTAGCCCACTTTCTCTGTCTTCCTTCAATATATCAAATATTGGGTATAACACAAACAGTCATCGGAATGCTGTGGAGCTACCTTATATAATAGTTCCGCCCACAATGCCCACAACCAGTGGCAGATCCAGAGGGGGGCAGGGGGCACCCCCTAAACGATCATTCATGCCATCTGGATTACGCATAGCTTCTCTGCGATTTACGCTCCGTAAATTTTAAACGAAGCTTGGACCCCCCAATACATTTTGCTGGATCCGCCCCTGCCCACAACAAACTTTATTTTCTATGTACCAAGAGAACACAAAATTGTGACCCTGTTTTGCGCGAAATAAATGAAAATACAATTATTTCAAAGTATGCCACTGGAAGCTGACAGGCTAGAAGTTTTGTGAGATTAGGCTGAAAAAAAGTTTATACATATCATTTACAACTGTATGTTTTAAATAGTTTTTAATAGTTTTTTTTTTTTTTTTTTTTCATTCCGCTTGGCATGCTGGTAGCGTCTACTGTGCGGCTTGTGTGTTTTTGTAATTGGCGAGGCTAATTGATCGCGCTTGGGGTAAGTAAACAAGGAGCCAGGACAGGAAGTCACACACCGCCACACCGTACATTTGCTTATATCATCAGCAGTGACTTGTCAATCAAAGAGCAACGTAAACAAACTTTCCGGACTTTTAATCACATACGCGTATATATTTTGTTAGTATCTTCCATCATTGACATTGCTCCGAAATATTTAAAGCTATCTAGCCAAGACCGCCTGGGTAAAAAAAAAAAACAACAAAAATACTCCAAGTACCCATGAACCTACATTCATAATTGACCTTTTTAATAAGTCGAGCGCCATCAAACACTTTCTGTTTCAAAATAACTGAAAGTTAGTATAACAACTTCACGGTCCCCATAGACAGACACATCAGCTATCCACGAAATACTGCTTAAGAAACGCTATGAAATATGACTTTATTTCTAATTTGATTATGTGCTATGCTGAAAGATGAAGTCTACACTATGTTTATGAAGTTACCATGATTGGTTTGTGTGCCTTTTGGGGGGAAATAGTCAAATGAAGAAAAAACTTTGTTGACCACTACACAGTCCCTCTATCACCGGTCTGGAAACGCCTATTGTCTTAGGGGGATTAGCAATAAACATCCAGCGAATGCGTGCAGCGGTTGTTGGCGTCGCATAGTCACGTGACAGTCACGTGTCTATAGAGGGACTGTGACCACTATCTGCCATAGAGATTATGTAGACCCATGGAGTAGTTAGTCTCTTTTCTACCTCCATGGTAGACCCAATTTAGGGCAATATACGGGCCGTGTTTTTCTTTGTGCGTGAAGTCCCATGTATTAATTACACTATATTCTTTACATTACATTATTATCTCAAACATTGTATAGCAATAGACAGTCTATTCACAGTGAATTAGAATTTCTAAAAGACAATTCATTGAGTTAATACACAGTGCATCATATACTAGTAGATATTTTGTGACGCTAATTTGTTTTTAAAATGCATTTGTTAAAGTGGAACTGAAAACAGTGAGAACGGAAAAGAAGATTGTTTTTCCACTGAAATTATGAATATACTAATTATCTCTGAACTAAATCGCACTGCCAATGTTTATTGGGTTGTGTACTTCCTAATTGTAATAGTTCATAATAAAAATAAACAAGAAAACGAACTAAGTTCTTAATTTTAGAAGTTGTCAGAACCCATCATTTCAGGTGTGCATCCCATCATGATGACGTTGTTTTCTTAAACTCAAAGCTAAAAACAGGGCAAAGCATTAAAGCAAAGATAAAGGGAGCTCCACTGCGTGTATTCTCTCCGATACGTTCCATTATATTGGGTTTTGTACTACAGTTGAACCAATTGTGTTTGCTTAAAAACTGTAGTGTCTGTTACGAACACATAGTGGTCAATATGCAACTAACGATCATGTATAACGCCAATTTTAATAATTGGTTGTATACTAAACCATCTTGAATAAAGCTGAAACCCACACGGATAAGAGTTTAATTGTAATTGTGCTTCACGTGCGGATGTGTTATCGGTGAGATTGACCGATTCGAGAATAATGTGTGTAAGTTACAAGTACGTGTACTTATATAGAATTTGATAATAAATTGATTCAAGAAATTATTCCATGATTTTATTTTTATTTTCGATCTTATATACGACACTACGTTGTGAAAATATATGTGTCAATCATTTGTAAACCTGTATTTGAAAACATGGCTTCGGGAAACTTCTGAATTATGACGAAAAGTTGTGTCTGCTAGGTTTATTTCACTGTATTTGCACTCATTATATTGATAAAACGATGGTCACGGTAAAAGGGTGCGTCATACATAGATGCAATGCCACCCATAGGGATAGCGTATCGCTTCATAATTTTCCCAAGTACTAGTATGACAATGGGCATTTGTGAGAACAAAACGAGCTGACTGAGATGGCGTAGACCCTGGCGAGTCGGCAGTGGTTTGCGCTAAACATGTTACCACGGAATGTTTTCAGGACAGCTCTGTGAAAACATCATTGGGGTTTTCAAGTGGATGAGCATATTTTTATTACTTTTAATTTAAGTATGTGTATAATTCTATGCGAATCTCGGCCTCGTAGCACAACACATTACAACCGCCAGGAGTGGAGATACCCGGGTGGAGATGATACGTCGCAATGCCGTGACTTCGACTATTGCGGCAGTTCTCAGTTGTCTGAGGGCAGTTGTATGCCAACTGATAATCATTTAGATCGTATCTATTTCTGTGTCAGTCACCGTAGTCGAAAAGTGGAGCTGATTTGATTCTATATTGACAGATTTATAGCGTCTTTAGATTATGGTGTTACTGTCACTGTCTGATTTGTTGCAAAAGGACGCCTAAAAATATTCGTCGCTTGAGTGTTGCAATATTCATTAAAAATATTTATGTGCAAGGAATAACATTCATATTTATAAGTAACATATTTATATTCATATAACTCCCATTTATATTCGTTAAATCTCTATTTATAATCATTAAAGCCTCCATTTGTATTTGTAAACCATGCATTTATATTCGTAAAATCTGCATTTGTATTCATGGATCATCTATATTTGTAAAAAATGTGATAAGTGGGCATAGAGGGCGCATTTTGGTAGAAATGTATACATGTAGTTGTATTTGTAAAACCTCCGTATATATTCGTCAAACTCCATTTGTGTTCGTAGAATCGTCTGCATTTGCGATACGTGAACACAGATTAGATGGCGCTTTTCGTTATTGACTCGAAGTCAAAACATACGTGGATTCAACCTGTAGGTTTCAACATGGCGGCAAATGCCAAATAAAGTGACCCTGTAAATGTGTCTTTGTGCGACGATCCATCCATGTGGGTAAAAAGAGATTTACCTCCATGATCCATCTAATCTAGGTTTCCCAATTCGTCGTTTTTGTGTGGAAAAATCCCTTACATACGAACACCTAATTACGCGAAGAACCTAGAACACTAAGCCGGGGTATTTGAAACCGAAATTGTCATCTAAGCGTTAGGCCGTCGCTGATTGGCGGCTGAGCTGGAATGCCAATTTTTAGTCTATAAAGTCTCTTATACTGTATTGTAATTGGCTTATGCGGTACTTTGGTCGTAACCCAAAACTAATGATGTTTGCGATTTTAAACTTATGCGGTGTCTTGGTCATAGTCCAGAACGAATGATATATATTGATGTCAACTGTGGAATGTTATTGCAAGACC